GGGGGGGGATGTAGTAGAGTGATACAACTTGTAGAAAGACAACAGTCGTGGGCTGGGAGGGCGACCATCTGCGCGTGGCCAAGAGGAGAAAGGTTGTCCCTGTACCTGGCTCATCAGAGTCACAGGTCTGTTGGTAGGAAGCGGGGTGTGTGAGTACAGGATATATCTCATGCTGGGCAGGAAAACAGTACATAACGTGAGTATATCATATGTAATAATATGTTGTTGTTGTGGATAGATACGTAAGTATTGAAAGCAAAGCGTAAGTTAAGAAAAAAAAGGGGGGGGGTGGGGGCAGCACAGACGAATAGATAAAGTAATAATAGATATAGGAGATGGCCCGTCAATGTGTGACGACGACCGTCAATGTGTGACGACGACCGTCAATGTTTGACGTTAACCAATACATCTGCGGTGGAGAACATTTCTTCAGCGGAAGTTCATAGAAATCAAGATTGAAAAAACCCGTGGCGTCTGCTATGACCAATACAACTAATTCTGGCAGAGAAAAGTTTGCCACATTTTCAACATTTAAAATCGTGTGGATGTGCGCAGCTTGCGGGCTTCTCTCTTGGCTTCCGCATTTTTACGCCGTGATGCCTCATAGAAAATATTATAATGTGTACACAAATGCACCAGACGGCTTAAAAAAAACAGGTATGAGATTTACCAACGCGCCCGACCTGTCTGATGTGACATTACCTAGATCTGTGCACACTCGGCCCCTCCACAGACCTCGGCATTCACACACAAAAGTGTCGCCCACATCCTGACAACGTCCGCGGTTTTGACACAGAGACGGCTCACACACACCCACACGTGTCTCGCACAACCTTCCTCCCCAGCCTCCTTCACACTCGGAACATTCCGGAAGTGCGTCATGGGCAGCCATTTTGCACCGCTTACAATTCGCCGACAAGAGATCAGCGCAGGAAGGTTCTCGCTCGCCACAGAGTCGGCCTCGCCACCCACGTGCACATACACACGTCGCACCTCGCCGCTCATCCTGCACGCACGTCCCGTTATTGAGACACGTGTGTGGTGAGCATTTCTTTGTGGTGGGCATCTTGGGCTCGGACTGAGACTGAGTCACGAGTGTGCTGGTGAAATCCGTAGATTTGCTCGCTTCTCTCAGAGGATCATGAGTGGTAAACGAGCTATCTCTGCCCATCTCAGTGGTCAGCTCAACGGTCGTTCTGTCACAAAACCTTCCCCACCACCCAGATTTACATACGCATACAACCTTGTGCCCGACAAGTTGGCGCCGCCCACCATGTTTACACTGACCTCTACATGCACGAGAGTCATCAAAACTAACTTCCTCTTGTGTTCTGGAACGGTTGAATGATGGACTCATGGTTTGGTTTTCAAACTGACATCTTTCACCGGTGTAGTTTCCCCTACATAAACACAACACCCGGTCCCCCTGCGTGGGTACACACGTAGAGTTGTTGAGACAGTAGAACGGAGTACGCGAGCAACCGTCAGGTGTGTTCTGGGCCTCTGTATCAGTGACGTCATCAGTCGTGTTGGAGGAATGTAGCCCCGTGGAGTTGGATGACTTCTCTAGGGCGTGTTTGTTATCAACGTCTGTCACCACGGCTGTTGTGGGCACGTCGGGACTCTCGTTACCCTTGTCAGATCCATCCCTGTCATTTAGTCTTTTATCATCGTCATTATCATTATCATCATCAACATCGTCATCATCATCATTATCATCATCTCCCCCATCATCATCATCAACATCATCATCATCATCGTCATCAGCAGCTGTAGTGTCCCCCTCTGAGATCGTGAGCGGTGTCTCACACGCGCCCCCCGTCCACCCCGCCGTACACTCACACACGACAGTGTCCAGAGAACCACCTCCGGGGTGAGATAGATCGACCAGCCCCCTGCACTGACCACCATTCCCACACGGGGACTGACCACACACGTCACAATACTGACCCGACCAGCCCCCTGCACAGTTACACCGGACACCACCGAAAGCGGAACTGAAACATTGGGCGCCATTATGACAGGGGCCGCTCAGACAAGGGCGTTCACTCTTCTCACACCTCTCACCGTACCAGCCCCGCTCACACACACAAGAGAAGCGGTGAGTACTTCGCGAATACACGCACGCGCCGTGCACGCCACAGCTGAGCCCCGGCGGGCATGAGTTCACGTCTAGCTCACAGCGATCACCCACCCACCCCTCGGAGCATGCGCAAGAGAACCCCCCCAGGACATTGCTACATGTGCCACCATTGAGACAGGCAGGGGTGTGAGGAGCATGCGCAGTGAGTACAGAGCTGTCAGACAGTGGCATGCTTCTTTCCCTACTCGGCTCCGCGCTCTCTTCAGTCGGCACCAGATGGACCGACTTGTTCTCGTCCTCGTCATATGACGTCACCACCTCGGTGTGTGACCCGGGGACACCGGGTGCCATTGACGTGTTGTTCCAGGCGTCGTGGTCAGTCGGTGTGCTGCACTCGTCGATGTCTACGTCACAGCGGTCACCTGTCCAGCCAGACTCACAAACACACTTGTAGCCAGGCTGGGTGTTGACACAAACAAAATGGGAGGTAACCAAGGACGTCTCGTTGGTCCCGGCAGAAAGGCTGGAGTTGTTCCCCGTGGAGTTGTTCCCCGTGGAGTTGTTCCCCGTGGAGTTGTTCCCCGCGGAGTTGTTCCCCGTGGAGTTGTTCCCCGCGGAGTTCTCCTCACACACCCGCGCCACCTCGCGGCATTCATCCACGTCCTCCCCGCAGACATAGCCCTGCCAGCCGTCCAGACACTCGCAGTGGAACGAGCCAATCAGATTGACGCACGTGGCGTTGTTCCGACAAGGGACGTCCTCCCCGCGACACTCATCCACGTCCAGTTGACACCTGTCGCCTGTCCAGTTTCTGGGACACTCGCAGCTGTAGCCGCCCGCCATGTTGACGCACACAGCCTGGTGCTCACAGATCTCTGACGCGCACTCGTCCTCATCTACGTCACACACCTCCCCGGACCAGCCTCGCTCACACGAGCAGACAAACGACCCAAACGTATTGGTGCAGTTCGCGCCATTTCTGCACACGTCCCTGGCACATTCGTCAATGTCCTCACCGCACAGGTCCCCCCACATCCCCTGAGGACAGTCACAGCGGAATCCTTGCTCTATGTCCACACACACGCTGCCGTTGTAACAGGGAGACCGCTCACACTCGTCCACGTTCTGTTCACACCGAGGACCCTCCCAGTAGTCTGGGCATGCGCACAGGAAACTTCCTATGGTGTCGGAGCAGTTCCCGCCATTTTGGCAGACGTCCAGAAGACACTCGTCTATGTTGGTGTCACAGAGCTGGCCTGGGGGAGGGAAGTCAGTTTGATGGAATGAAGACGAGGATGAAAATCATGGTTTACAGTGTACTCAACAGTGGGGTCTGATGGAGAAAAATGTCTCAACCAAGTAGATAATTCGACAAACAGATTGATGTATACAGTGAAGGCAAAGAGATATTAAAAAGAAAAATTAAATCATTAAATTACGTAAACACACACACATACCCTCCCC